TATATATATATATATATATATAAACTTACAGGTTTGGAGAAGATATAACGAAAAAAATATAAAAGAGCTTAAAATTGCACGATTATTTTTGCAATATATCATCGAAGTTTTCCCTTAAAACTAAGAAATTTGATATGAAATAATAATAATAATTATTGCAAAAATAACAACAAATAAACGCTTAATTCTTTGGCAACCAAAATAAAATATAGAGCAAGCAAGCATGGAACATATAATTACTAATCAGCGAAAAAAATATACACATAAATTGAAAAGTAAAAAAAAAACATTTTTCATTCCAAGTGGGAATCTGGTTTAAAACCCCAATGCAACGTGCTAAATAAAATCCGACTAAACCCATAATACAATTTCTTACAAAAACGATGCAATCTACCCAAATAAAATATGTTAAAATCGTCAAATATATAATATGTAATCGAAATAAAATCTGATAGAATAAATATGGAAGAATCGATAGTCAGAATAAAAAATAAAAAACTTAATTACAGTCATTTGATAATCAGATTAAAATCCCAATACAATGTGTTTACAAGACGCGATTCAAAAAATGCAGCATAATTGGATGAGATAAAACTCTGTGGTGCTTACCGAAAGCTAGAGGATGAGCAGTAGACGCGATCCTTTAATTGAAAGAGAGTTGTAAGTAAATATATAAAGATGAGGTTCTCTTCAAATTTAAAATAAATTTCAGTGGCTAAAAACTTTTCAAATATAAACCTCCCATTTTGAATGATTTTTTCTTACTAAATTTTCAAAACGTAGAGATATATATATATGTATGAAGGTGCTAACGTATTAGACGGAGGAATATATAGTTAGCTTTGGATGGTCGGTGTGTAATTGTCTTATTTTAAACATTTTTTATACAATTGATTCAATTTCAAAACCCTAATTAAATTCAGATTAATGAAATGTCTTAATTTAAACAATTTTCTGGGCCGCACAAACATTACGTTAGAAAGAAAGGTGGTGAGAGTGAGAAGGAGAGGGTTAAGGAGGAATTTTGAGGGAGTTTAATTTTTATTTTTCTAGATTATTTTACGTGGTATCAATCCAGCATTTATAATTTCAATAAGAAATACATAATATTTAAGGATTGATGCAGTGCTATAGATGTAAATTCTCCCGTAAAAAAGAAATAGCATCACTTCATCACATTATCCTTAAAATTAAAAATAACATTATAATTGCATTCAACTAATTAGTATTTAACTTGCACATCGCATATATCATTATTTCTTAACTTAAAATTAACATTTAATGATCAACAAATCATAAGCGAATCACCAAACACTGCAATATCACATTCATAATAGAAAGTAAACATTTAGCCAAATAATGAACGTAACCATAACGTATTGACATATGAAATATGCATGGATTAAAAAAATAAAAATTATGAATGTAGTAGGACTTAATTAGAGTTCATGAAACTACATGGACTCAAAATCATTTAACAACAAATATATGTACTAATTAATCTCTAAAAATTATCTCTGAATATTTGCAAACCAAACCAATCTAATCTTCATCAGTTGATTATTTTCTTATGCTATTCTAACAAAAGTAATCGCAACATTATATTAATCCAAAAGTCCTCTTCAAATATGTTGGAGTACGGCCGATTTATAGATTTTAGAGATGTGTTCTGATCATTTATATCAAAAAATCTAGAAACACCAATGGATGCTTAAAAAAGTATCCCTTTTTTTCTCAATATCTTCCAACAAATTTGTTTATTTTAGTGCTCTTTAAGGAGGGAGTATGTTTTGGATATTATTTGAAGAGCAACATTAAATCAATATGTAATATGATTCCTAAAATTGAAGTACATGAAGTACAATGATATCTAGAAATGTGCTGCCAAAAATTTGATTCCACAGAATTGTTAAAAAAATATCATTTTTCAATCATTTGATGTTTCTAGACCTTATAATGCCTTGTGAACTTATATATAGGCAAAATTATAAAAGAAAACATCCAAATTTGAACTTGTGAAATGCATTACTTTATTCTGCAAAAAGAGATCATAACACAAACGTAACCTAATCCAAAAACTCACCAGATACCGAGCAACTACAAGCAGTCTGGGAATATGAGCACCACACTATTCAAGTAAACGTAAGGCTGAATGGTGCAAAACATTGAATGTAATAAGAAATTTAAGCCAAAAAAGGGCACACCAATGCATCAATAAAATAAAAACTAGTTACAAATTCTCAATATTGATTGAGTTAGTCAACTCCATAATTGCAGTAATAATATCACCATCAGCCGCTTTAAGAGCCTTCACAGCTTTTCCCCTCGAAACACCAGCCATAGTCATAACAAGCTCAATATCCTTCGGCTCCACACCATTCTCATCGACTTCTTCACCGTCTTGAGAGGCGACAAACGTCTCCGGCTTACTTATCACATAGCTTAGATCAGGAGCCCTGAACTGCTCGGCATCCTGGGTTTGCAATTGGGAGCTTAGATCTTCGATCTACGCTTCGCCAAATATTACGTAAGTATTTGAGTTTGGGCTTTTGAATGCATCTGGCTTCGAAATAGCGAAGAGTATCTGGATGGGATAGGTGAGCTCACGTTTTTGGTCTTCTTTATTGTAACACGGCTAACACCACTTATTGGCTTCATTCCAAGCTTCAGCATGGCCTTTCTGCTCTTTTTTTCACTTCTGCTCTGCTTAGACCTGCCAC